GTAATCAAAATAGAGAGAGAGTTAAGTGGAAATCATCTGGCTCACAGGCATAGGGAGGGGTGGGATGGGAGGTAATATGAGGGTTCTTGGTGGTGGAGCGATAGCACAGCAGGTAGGGCGTTCGCCTTACAAGCGGCCAACATGGCCGACCCGAGTTCGATTCCTCCGCCCCTCTCGGAGAGCCCGGCAAGCTACTGAGAGTATCTCGCCCGCACAGCAGAGCCTGGCAAGCTCCCCGTGACGTATTCGATATGCCAAACACAGTAACAACAAAGTCTCCAATGGAGACGTTACTGGGCCCGCTCGAGCAAATCGACGATCAACGGGAGGGCCTTTACCTTTACCTTTACCTTTACCTTGGTGGTGGAAAATATGCACTGGTGAAGGGATGGGTTTTTGGTCATTGTATGACTGAGACTTAAACCTGAAAGCTTTGTAACTGTTCTCACGGTGATTCAACGAATCAATTAAAATGAAAATTTTTATAGCAATTTTGGTTTTGTATTTTGGCCACACCCAGTGATTCTCAGGGATTAGCATTGTCTCTGAGCTCAGAAATCACTCAAAATAGTACTTGGAGGACCACACACGGTGCCGAGGATTGAAACTGGGTCAGTTGCATTTTAGCCAAGCATCCTTTTTGCTGTACCCTCTCTCTGTCCCCAATATAGCAATTTTTAAAAACATGTCAATTGTGGTGTTCTTGTATTGCAGAGTCCTAATTAATTAACTTTGAGTAAAACAATTAAGCACAAGCAATTATAATTTTAACAATAAAGTTAATAGAGCACCAAAAAAAAAAAAAGAAAAGAAAAAAGAAAACAAAACCTATTCCCTTTTGCTGTTTGCAAGACACTGACTTGAACTTCAGTGAAAAATACAGATTCAAATTAAGAGTTTAAAACACATTCATGCAGGGAACTGGCAATCTAAGTAAGGCAAAGACATCATACTTAGATGAAATAGAGTTTAATCTAAAAATGGTAGCAAGTCCAGACTCATAATTAAATTTTGAAAGAGATCAACCAGCTGCCAAAAATCCTTTGGACACCTGTACATGGCTGAGGCATCCAGGGTACCTGGAGTGGGGTAGGCCAACCAAGGGCCCACCCAAACAGAGTCCTGGAAGCTGCTTGCTGCCATACTGCAAAATTGCTGCCACGCCTCTAGCTGGACTCCATTGTCTCAGGACCGAGCCTCACCTGAAATCAGCCTGCAAAAGTTGAAGTATGTGGGACTTTGTGACTGAAATCTCCAGACTTTCTCATAGTAGAGGTGGGCTACTATGCCCCACCTCCCTGTACTTCCAGAAGCCTAAGCAGTCAAGGCTGAACCCCAAAGCAGTTGCCCAGTTAAAAAATTGGCTCCAGCTATATCAACCAGTTAAAAATTTTGGACTTTCGGGATGGCTGCACGACATCTCCAAATTCTACAACACTGATAACCCAGTAGTAGCACTCAAGTGGATGGGATATAACATAGAAGGCAACAAATCTTGACTAACCAAACAGTAACACAGAACACTTAACCTGTAACAACATCTTAGTAATTCCTCATACAAGAACTTAATGTCTCCGTGGTGAGATACAACAATTTTTACTAATCTTCTAAGGAAATATCTTTTCATCATTCTGATAGCAATTTACTAATAACAAGCAATATAAAATAAATTATTGTGGGCCTGTTATGGGGGTAGGCTTGAGGAGTGGTTAGGATAACTAGAGACAATAGTGGAAGAAAGGTGATAATAGTTGTGGGATTGGTGTTGGAATGTTGTACACCGATAACAAATCATTATGATCAACTTTGCAAACCACAGTGTTTATATAAAGTGTAAGGAGAAAATTTACATAAGTAGGCCTTACCTATTTCATGCAAACTCCAAAATATATTAACACAGGATTTCCTTAGAAGTTTTATTAAAGACAGGTCACTCATGGTGATTATAATGAGATCCAAATATAAAATAAAATTTAATTCAATATAAAATAAATAAATAAAAATAGTAGCAATAGACATGGATTGACATTATATGATAATTGGGGATGAATATAGCAAGAGGATTTAGCACTAAGTAATATATATGCAACAAATAAAGAGACATCAAAGTAAATAAGTCTGTTTTGATCAAGTCCAAAGACATTGACAGCAACACAATGCAAGTAGGATGCTTTGACATCATTGGAACTCTCATTATTGGAACAGATGAATCAGACAGACAATCAATAAGGAAACAATAATCATAAATGAGGGTTTGTAGACTGTGTTAAATAGACTGTTCACCCACTGTAGGCTGAATACCGAGGTTTTAATGTATATGGAATGTTCTCCAGGATACAGCACATGCTGAGAGACACAAGTGTCAACCATCATGAAGACTGAAAGCATATAGAGTACCTTTTCAGAAATCTGGGGAAAAGTCAAACATTTGAGATGAAATAATTTAAATTTAACAAAAAATTTCAAGCTTTCTGTGGAAAAAAATGTATAGTATATTGAAAAATATTTTAAAGATCAAACAACAATGGTAGGAAGACCCAATATTATAAAATATTATCTCCACCTATATATCTATATATTCTGGGCAATTTCAGCAAAAATTTAAATAGTGTTTGATCTTGAAATGCATATTAATAGACAAGATACATTTTGGGAAGACTAATTTCAAATATGCATAATTAGTTGTATAAGGAATTGGCATAAAAATGGCTAACAGAAGAACAGAACAGAAAGTCTGGAGCTAGAAGGCATACAAATACAGGAACATGATAGATGAGAAAGATGACACTGCAGATAAACATTGAAATATATAGATAAAATTATTCTAGGGAAGTAGTTGCTCATACAAAAATAAATGAAAACAGATTCCTCTACTATATATACACATAGAAAACATTCACAGATAAAGACAGAAGTGAGAAATAAACTGTAAAACTGAAAGAAAATATTTTTATGACTTTAGGATGGTGAATAATTTCAAACACAAACATAAATAGAAGGATTGATACATTGAAATGACTACTACATTGAAATGACTACTAATAATCAAATATATTTAAAGGTGAAAACCTAAGTGATCAGTAGAATAAACTGAAATTTTTTAAAAAAAATCCTCTCAAATAAGAATAATAACCTCACAAGCTAATGAGATAAAACATCAGATGTAAAGTTAGTGTTTAATAATGTGTTTGAAGGACCTCCTAAGCATTGTTCAGGGGGTACAGGGATCAATCTGACCAGTACTTGGTCAACTGGGCCATATGGTTCTGTTCTAGGATCAGCGCTGTGGTACTGCTGTGGCCCAGGAGTGCTCAGGAAAGGAGATATCAAATTCTAGGGATTAAACTTAGGTCCTTGCTTATGAAAGGCATATGCCCTTGAATGATCCCTGAACCATCTCCCTGGTTCCTAATAGTATGTTATTTTGAAATCCACACAAAGTTAGATATAAGGGTAATGCAAGTTCAAAACACAATACAATTAACAAGCACATTAAATGCTGGTGAGAATTTGTGAAAAAATGAAACAATAAAAACACGTGCTTTGCCAAAGGCCATTTAAATTGGTATCTAGCACTTTGGAAAAGAACTTTGCCTTAGTATAGTTTAAGTATAGTTTATACTTTTATATAGTTTATACTTTTTGGGCCCAGAAAATTTATTTATTAGAAATTAATCAATAGTTAAGAGTATACATACAAATGCATTTGTAGCAAAATTGTGTCTAATAGTAAAAATTAAATCTGAAAAGAATCCTAAAGTTTATTAATAATAGAATAGATGATTTGTTTTATCAAGATGAGATGTGAAAAAGAGACATTAAGCTGGCTGAAGTATATGTGGATTTTACTCAGCTCTACTTTAAGTTGTACATATATTATATATTTTTGCAGCTATAATGCACTTAATTCAAAATTTATAGCTATAATGCATATATATTAGACTAAAAATAAATGTATATAATAAAGTAAAACTTATCTAGCATCCTATCACACAGATAGTTTTTGCACATGTGTCTTGTTGCACATAACTTCAGGCCTCAATCTATGTAAGTGTGCATATTTGAGTTTAATAAATATCAACATCTTCCCGTTACCACATCTGCTTAAAATATATGTAAAGCAAAAAATACTGAAAGCACTTAATTTACAAGGCTATCTCATAAAAATCAGATTTTGTCAAACAGGACAAGTTTCTACCACATGAAATTTTAATTCCAGAAAATACTGGTGGGGAGTGTGCAAGGATGGTTGTTTATCACAAGAAAAAATATACAAATGAAATCCTCTATGTTCTTCCAAATGTGCTTTTTCTTGTTCAATCTTGAACCACACTTATCAGTACTCTAGAGCTGTTCTTAGTTCAGTGCTTAGGGGATTTGCTTGGCAGTGCTTGTGGGGCCCATGGTGTTGGGGATCAAACCCAGACCTACAGCATGTCGAGCATACATTCTGAGATGCCTTGGCCCCCCCAAAGTATTTTGCACATGACATGTTACCTTTCAATTAGTAACACATAAATGAAAGTACTCTGAAGTAAAATAAAGAAAATTTATACATTAGGGAGTGATAACTATTTTATCAGTTCCATGTAAAAATTTCACTCCATATGACCTGTCTTCCTTTATTTTTCTTCATAGTACTGAGAACAATATTCTCTATCTCTCTGGGACTGGAGAGATAGTACAACTGGTAGGGCGCTTGCCTTGCATGTGAGTGACCTGGATTCAAAACTGCTGGCACCCCATATGATTCTCTAGGGCTTTTATTCTTATTACTACCGCATTTCAGCACTTCATTCTATGACTGGTACATAGTATAGTCTCAATAATATATAAGAAACGAAACTGAGAGAAGTGTAATTATTTTCTACATTGGAAGCAGGTGTGTATGTATTCTTTATACATGTTGGGAAAAATTGTATTAATTACAAATCACATTTTATTCCAAAATTAACCATTAATTTTGCTTAAAATTGTTTGTATTTTTCAAAAACTTTTACCTCATTAATTTCAGCTTCTGCTTTTAATTCAGACTTTAGAAAATAAGTATCTTGTAAATTTGAAATACTAGTAGGATCCTCCTGGTCATTTGTCATCTTTCCAACATAAGCAAAGACATCTTTGTATATTCTAGATTAAAAAATTTTTTAAAAATAGGGTAAGAAAAAATAGTTTTAAAGTATACAAAAACATCTGAGTAAGGAGAATCAGAATATAAACTATTAGAATGAGCTCAAAATTGACTTGTTAGTAACTTTAAAAAAGTATGTGTGTATGCATGTGTGCAAACCACATAACTTAAAAAAAGAAACAAAATAAGTATTATAAATAAGCTCAAATCAATGCTAACAAAAGTTGTCAAATAATAAAGCAAAATAAGAGACACAAGAACAGAAAGGAATTACAAAATCAGTTAGAGAGCAATTAAAAATGTCAATAAATATATATCAATAGTTTCAGTAAATATAAATAGACTAAGAGCCCTTCAAACAACATAGAGTAGGTATTCATATTTGGAGGCAGTTATATGTTGTATTAATAAGCATATGCATATACACAACATTCTATCTAGAAGCAATAGAATACACACTCTTCTCATGGGCACATGGAACATTCTCAAGGTTAGATATATTTGTTGGGCCACTAACAACTGACCAAAAAGTAGTAAAACATTTAAGAAGATTAAAATTATATCAAGCATCTTTTCCAACCACAGTGCTATCAAACTAGAAACCAAATACTAGGACTATGAAAAGTCACGGGCTGGAACAATAGCACAGCGGTAGGGCGTTTGCCTTGCATGCAGCCAACATGGCCGACCCAAGTTCGATTCCTCTGCCCTTCTCGGAGAGCCCGGCAAGCTACTGAGAGTATCTCGCCCGCATGACAGAGCCTGGCAAGCTACCCGTGATGTATTCGATATGACAAACACAGTAACAACAAAGTCTCCAATGGAGATGTTACTGGGCCCGCTCGAGCAAATCGATGAACAACGGGAGGACAGTGATAAACAGTGATAACAGTGATAAAAAGTCACAAACCTGTGGATATTAGCAATATGCTACCAAATCTCTCCTGGGACAATATAAATTTCAAAGGAGAACTTGAAAAAAATATTTAAAAACAAATGGAGCTTAAAATATGACACACCAAAATAATTGGTTTGCAGCAAAAACTGTACTTTTAAAGGGAAGTATATGGCAATATATACTTATCTCAAGAAACAAGATAAATTTCAAATAATCTAAATTAACAAAGTCAGAAGAAATAAGAAAATGAAGATAAGAACTAAAAAATTTAAATAGACAAAGTAAACTACAAATCTCAATGAAAATAAGAGCTGTTACTTTGAAAAGATCAACAAAATAGACAAATATTTATCTAAAGTAACTAAGAAAAATGGGAAACAACTTCAAATAACTAGTCACAAATGAAAGAAGCTACAATGAATACCACATTTCTGATTTAATTTTTGAAACTGTTTCCCTTTTTCCTTCACAATGGCAATATATTATTGCATACTATAGTACACAATATTTAGTCATTATAATATATTATATATTTCTATACATTATGAGTATTAATTCCTTTTATAAGTCAAAAAAGATATGGTTCTTTTATAAGTCTAAAATTATGATTACTTGAAAAGATGTTCATTCTTTTTTTCCACTGACAACAGCATACTTGCAGAACAATGAAAGAATTCCAAAAGCATTGTGATTGCATTATGCATTAATTGGTGAATTAGTTCCAGAAATAAGCAGTCAATCAGCTTCAGAAACCTCAAAACTCTTTCTAATAAACGTTTGTATTTTGGCAACATGAAATGTGCTGTATTCTGTTCAGGAACTTCTGGCACAAAGTATGTTTCAATATTTTCCCTTTTTGCCACCTGAATGTCAACAAAAATTTTAGAGTTAAGTGATTTCCTATGTTAATATAGAATGATTTCTTGTTTGAATTATTTTTATTGGTGAGAAAAACATCAGAATTAGACATCACTAACACTCATTAAAATTTTATTTCATACTTCCACTATACTGAAGTGTAAAACAAAAAAGAAAACAATTTATGTGTTCTGAAGCCTGTGAAATTTGGGGTCTTCTGAGCAGGAACGTTAATAGAATTCAGATAGGAAAAACAAAACTCTAAAATCATATTTAGATTGAGATATGGTTTTAGAGTTTTGTTTTTAAGTAAAATATTTCTTAAGCTGATTATTGAAGAATTTGTTAAAAATTATACAAATATACACATATATGGGTGACACCAGTACTATTTAATATTTCTAAATTAATTTCTAAATTTGAAGTTACTTTACATTTTCCATTTTAGACACAAGTAGTTTCTTTACCTTTTGTTTTCTTTCTGATGTGGGAGGCCTCCTAGGGGATCCAGAGACCACTCTTGGCAATCCTCAGCCTGATGACACAGGGGTTAGGCACATCTTGAATTTGACTCCATGTGCACTTCATGGATGATGTCGCTTGGCTTCTATCTAATCACTTCTCTACTTTTAATATTTTTCTAGACTCAGTCATTGCCCAAAAAAGCACCTGGAATAGTTTCAACCTAGGAGTACATTAGACTCACTTGACAGGCTTTTGCCAGTGCTCCTTGAGCTCTTCCATTTGAGATTTTTTTTAGGAGGCTGAGAGATAGTACAGTGGATAAGACACTGGCCTTGAATGCAACTAACCCGGATTCAATGCCCAGCATCACCATGGTCCCCTAACCCCACCAAGCATAGACCCAGAAGTAAGCCCTAAGTACAGCCAGGTATGCAAACCCCCAAACCAAAAACAAACAAAAAAGAAATTCTAAATGTAATCAGTCTAAGACGGTCCAGAATATCAGGATTACCTCCCACCCACAGGTGATTCTTGTTGATTCTAGCAAGCAGTCTATTTGACATTTCTGTCCTAGTGTTTACTGGATAGACAGTTGGCACCTCCACTTCGCTGATGACACCATTCTAATAACACCAAACATCAGCCAAGCGGCACAAATGCTGGCCGACTTTGTGAGTTTGGAAAGTTTGGACTATAGCTGAATCTCACAAAGACAATGTTTATGAGAAACGGTCTCGTTCCTGATGTTCCATTTGCTTTCAACGAAACGAACATCTCTGAATGCAACAGTTATGTGTACGTAGGTTGAGAAGTCAACATGATGAATGACCTGGCACCTGAGTTGTGCAGGAGGAAGAGAGCAGCTTGGAATGCCTTCAAGAGCGTCGAAGAAATAGCTTAGAAGACAAAAAACCTCCATCTCTGAGCACATCTCTTCGATTCTACTGTTCTTCCTGCATTAACATACGCCTCAAAGACCTGGGCCCTACGAAAACAGGATGAGAACGCTATTCGGGTCTCCCAAAGAAGAATCAAAAGAGCTATGCTTGGAGTATCACGCTTCACTCAAATGAGAAAAAGAATCCAGAGTTCCAACCTCCATCGACAATCAAGAATCAGGGACGCTGTCTCATTTGCCAACGCATCAAAAATCAGATGGGCTGGACATGTTATGAGATTTTGGAGATGACCGCTGGACTAGAGCCATTACTGATTGGATTCCACGGGAGGTCAAAAGATCGTGTGGCCACTCACCTATGAGATGGTCAGACTTCTTCGTCAAGACCCTGAATGATCAGTCTGAGGCTCTTCGTGTTCCCAGAACGAGCAGACGCCATTGGTCTATACTAGCACACAACAGGGACGAATGGAGACATTACTAGTGCCCACTCGAGCAAATCAATGAGTAACGGGATGTCAAGTGATCAAGAGATCAAGTGAACAAGTCCTAGTGTTTGGCCAGGAAATTTGGACATTTTAGTGAACTGTTAGGGTCTGACTATCTGTAGCCCCCACTTCCACTCCAGGACCCCCTGAGAAAATCAATAGTTACTATGTATTAGATATCCTTACATGAACAGAAATATTCATGCTCTCTTTGGGAGAGCTCTGGAGTGTACTTATGAAACGTTAGCAAAAGAGTAAAAACAAAAACCCTGAAGGGTGTGTATCATTTTGATGGTAGTAGAGGTATAGAAACTTTGTACATCAAAAACATAAACATGTACACTGGTATAACAGTATTACTTCAAAAATACTTAAATTAATTAAAATAAGATTTTAAAACCCTGAGAATAACAGCGGGGCTGGAGCCATAGCACAGCAGGTAGGGCTTTGTCTTGCACGCAGTTGACCTGGGTTCTATTCCTCCGTCACTCTCAGAGAGCCCAGCAAGCTACTCAGAGTGTCCCGCTGACACGGCAGAGCCTGGCAAGCTCCCCATGGCATATTCGATATGCCAAAAACAGTAACAAGAAGTCTCACAATGGAGACGTTACTGGTACCCGCTCGAGCAAATCGATGTACAATGGGAGGACAGTGCTACAGAGAATAACAAGTGCTATAGCAAGTGATAAGGGAGACACATTTTATTTGCCTGTATCACTCCCTCCCACTAGCTGACATCACGGAGCATCAAGAGGAAGCTCCCCAGGGTCTGAAAGAAAGAATAGCTGATAAGGCATTTACTTTGCATGAAGCTGACCTGGTGTTGATCCCTGGAATCCCATATGATCCCTTGAGTCATGCCAGGAGTCATCCCTGAGAGTGGAGCCAGGAGTAAGCCCTGAGCACCAACAGGTGTGGTTAAGAAAAAATAAAGAGGAACTCCCAAACCTGGAAAAGAATAGAATGAGTCACAAGTTTTCCTAGCCTTTTGGAGTAGCACACCAAGTGGCACTTCAGTGGGGCACCTTGAGCAGCAAAACTGAATTATATGACTAGAACAAGGAAGAAAACAGACAGCCAACAGCAATCATGAAGCAAGAGCATTTTTCAGTTCATAGTGGCCTATTGTACTGACAAATCCAACAGGCTTTGGCAGTGAAGAGTCAATAGTCAGTCGAACAGATTTCACCAGTTTTTGTATTTGCTTGCGTTCACTAGTACAACTACATAAGCCCCTATCCACCACTGCCACCTGTTTCTGCCAGAGCCCAGAAAAAAACACACTGGAAGCTAGTCCAGATTTCTATGGTTGCATGAATGCCAGACACAGCCTGGACCCCCACTGATGACCAATTCTGTCATGCACATACTCAGGGATAGGTCCCTTACCTGTGCATTTGCATGCTGTAGACCTGATAACTCATTACTAACTCATTGATGTATGCGGGTTGAAATCAGGCTCCATCTTCGGTCACTGGCCTGCACTACTGTTAGTAAGTACAATGAATCCCACAACTGAGCACCTATATCACCCCAGCTTGACCTCCATCACCAGCCTCCAACTGCCAAGAACACATAGTGAAATATAGTAGCCACCGTAAAATATGCTAACCATTAGTTTCCAGTAATTATCAATACACCCACAGTTGACCTGGATATTGAGGTCTGCCCTCTCATAATTGCATATACCTCCACTGGTCCCACCATTAAACAGTCATTTGAATATAGTCCCAGTAGCTGAATGTGTTTATAGCACCGTTCCAGTTACCACTACCCTCTGCTCTTATCTCTAGCTGACAAGAGGCATCATCAAGAACCCAAACTGCTCTTGCAGCCTTGCTGTACCTCCATGGTGCTTTCCAAGGACCATACAATTGATGATGCTGTGGATTTCAAAAGCCTGAGTGTGTTTCAATTGCTTAATGCATCCTCAAGATATCACATCTGGCACCCCACATCACTAAGACCTAGGATCACAAGATACTGACATGTCTGACCACCTGACCAAAAGTAAAGGTATTCTCTTGCTGAGATCATACCATAATGAAGGCAGGATGAGAAGGACTGCTTCTTCAAATATACCTTCCTCTATATGAGACTATAGCAATTATGAAAATCAGGGAAACATGACTGTAAAAATGAATGTAATGCATTTCTTCTAGTCATCCTAACAAAATGAATGTTCAGGAATTATCCAAAAAGAAATTTAGAATATTTGTTCTAAAGTTGCTCAGAGAGCTCCAAGAGAACACAAATAGACAAATGAATAGGATTAGAAAATAATACAAGCAAAAACAAGATGTTATAGCAGAGATAGAAACTATAAAACTGGAATAGAAGCTAACGAATACAAATGAATGAAGGAATGAAAACTTCAGTAGAGAGCTTCAAAAACAGACTTCAGGGGCTGGAGCGATAGCACAGCGGGTAGGGCGTTTGCCTTGCATGCAGCCAACATGGACGATACAGGTTCGATTCCCAGCATCCCATACGGTCCCCTGAGCACCGCCAGGAGTGATTCCAGAGTGCATGAGCCAGGAGAAACCCCTGAGCATCGCTGGGTGTGACCCAAAAAGCAAAAAAAAAAAAAAACCAGACTTCAGGCCCTTCAATGCAACCACCCTGGTTCAATCCCTGGCACACATATGGTTCTCCAAGGACCATCAACAGTGATTCTGAGTGCAAAACCAGTAATAAGCCTTGAGCACAACCAAGCGTGGTCCCTCCTGCCTCAAAAGAAACAGACAAAAAACAAAACCATCACCAACAAAAGGAAGAGAAAAACAAACACCAAAAATCAATTGGGATAAAATACAGATAAATTTAAATAATCAAAGTTAGAGGAGAAAAAAGAATAAAAAGAATGTAGCTATGAAATACCATTAAAAGCATGAATTTGCAAATCACTGTAGTCTCAGAAGTGGATAAAGGGATAGGAAACTTATTTTTAAAAATGGCAACAACAAAAAGAAAATGGCTTGTAAAACATAAAATAAATCTAAATATTTACTGGCAAAAAAACTGAATGAAGAAGTGGAGGAATACATATTCAATGGAATATTATTCTCCTTGGAGGGGAGCGGGTTGAGCTTTCCTCCCCGCCTCGACCAGGGCTCCCGCAGCCAAAGACCTCCAGGACCAGCCACCACCATGCTGAGACCACTCTCCGCACACATGAAGGTACTGGCAGAGGGACAAAGTCACGCGGGTTCCGGGGCCGAGATCTCCAAGCCTACTCGGATTGGAGTCGAGCATCCTCCACCCAGATCCTTCAAATTCCAGTAGGCGGGGGTCACACCCACCACCTGGCCCCCTGGCGCCATGTAATCCCATCAACGGCCAAGACTCAGAGACTATAAAATCCAGCTCCCAGAACCGTGCGGCCGCATTTGCGGCCGTGCGACATCTTATCAGGACATCTTTTTATGATATCTTATTATCTCATTCCTACTCTGGACAAACTTGCAGGCTATTGAATATAGCCTGCCCACAGGGCAGAGTCTGGCAAACTCCCCGTGGCGTACCAAATATGCCAAATACCAGTAACAATGATGGGTCTCATTCTCCTAAAGAGCCTTGAATATAATCTCAGGGCTAGGATGAAAGAGACATTACTGAGGCCTGCTCGAGGCAATCGATGAATAACAGGATGATGAATGAAATGAATGAAAATTATTCTACTTGGATGAAATCATGTTTTTTCAAACAAAATGAATGAAACTTAAGGTGACTATGCAAGTGAAATCAGTAAGAAAGCCAACTATAGATGGCTAAATACTTTTTTTTTTTTTGCTCTTTTTGGGTCACACCCAGCAATGCTCAGGGGTTACTCCTGGGTCTGTACTCAGGAATTACTCCTGGCGGTGCTTGGGGGACCATATGGGATGCTGGGGATCGAACCCAGGTCGGTCGCATGCAAGGCAAACGCCCTACCCGCTGTGCTATCGCTCTGGCCCCGATGGCTAAATACTTTTGTCTCTCATTTCTAACACTTTTTTCAGGGATACAATTTGGAACAAGTGCTTCAGTCAATACATAAAAGCCAATAAATAGGATACTTATAAAATTACCTTTAAAATGACATCCTTAATTGCTGAAATTGATTTATCTCTGATATCTTCAAGTTGCTTTGTTGCCTGGGTAACTTGCTGTAATTGTTCTTCACAAAACTCTTCTAGAGAATATGTTCTAGTGTTATCCAGCTAACAAAATGATATTAAATGTTGAGTATTTATGTTGAAATTCATTTTTACAGAAAAAATAAAATATTTTAATAATCTTTTTTCCATAAATAATAGGACATTTTATACTTTGCTTTTTTATGTGCTATGCTTTAAACTTATAGCTTAAACTTTAAGCTTATACACTCTTCAAATTCAAACACTTATAGTTAAATCTAATTGTCAAGATAAAGAGACACACACTACATTTGATTTATTTTTATAGGATCACTATGAATTACAAAGTTATTATTTTTAAATTTAATTTTTTTAAATTTTTGCTTTGGGGTCACACCTGGAGATGCTCAGAGGTTACTCCTAGCTTTGCACTCAGAAACCACTCCTCGCAGTGCTCAGGGAACCATATGGGATGCTGGGACCAAAACTTGGTTGACTGTAAGACAAGAGCCTTACCTGTTGTGCTATTGCTCCAGCTCCAGTTATTAATAAGTAAGTTTCAGGTGTATAATGTTCCAAAACCAAAACCTGCATCAGTGTCCATTTCTTTCCACCAATGTTCTCAGTTTTCTTTTCAACTCCAATCCTGCTTCTGAGGAGGCATTTTTTCCCCTCTACCATTGTCCTAATGCTTCTTTCCCTAACTTATCCTGGCACCCCCAACCCTACAACAACAGCAAGTTTCCTACTGAAGACCTGTTCTACTGTTTTCATTTCTATTGTCTTTTACATTTGATATTCCCCTGTAAACTTTCTTTATATCCCACATATGAGAGAGATCATTCTGTATCTGTTCTTCTCTCCCTCTGACTAACTTCATTCAGCATCATTTTCTCTAGCTCCATCCATGTATCAGCAAATTTTATGACTTTATCTTTCCTTTTCTCTTTCTTAAATTTTTATTAAAGAGTCATGGTTTACAAAGTACTGATAGGTGCATTTTAGGCATACAATAATTCAACACCAACCCTTCCACCAGTTCCCTTCCAACACCAATTCCCTCTCCATCCCAACCCTCACCCCAACCCCACCAGCCAACTTGACAGGCAAATTACAAAGTTGCAGTGCTTGCTGCTTAGATATCTTGTTTTCAGCTCTTTTGAATCTTGTTTTGAGTAGATGGTGATAACCCTCACTTGAATCACTGCTATAACTCAAGTCCTGGTGCCTATTAATCCATTACTTCTTGTTCTCTTCTTCCCCCCATTGATTTTCCTTTCTTTCTCTTCTGTCTCCTCTCTGAACACTAGGGTCGAGGATAATCTAAGCATCCTCCTTTTGTTACAATACATTTCCTCATATAGTAGTCTACAATCCACAGATAAGTGAGATCATCCTGTGTTTGTCTTTCTTCTTCTGGCTTACTTCACTCAATAGGATATTTTCCAATTCCAACCATGTTGCAGCAAATTGCATGATTTCATCATTCCTTGAAGTTGCACAGTATCCTATAGTGTATACATACCACATCTTCACGAACCATTCATCTGTCCTTGGATGCCTCTGGTTGATTCCATATCTTAGCTATTGTACTAAATGCAGTGATGAATAATGGCGTGCATATGTCCTTTTGAGAGACTGGTTTTTATGTCCTGGGGATAGATGTCCAAAAGTGGAATTTCTGGGTCATTTGGCAGTTCAAGTCTAAGTTTACTGAGAACTCTCCATACTGTTTTTCACAGGGGGTATATCAGACAACTTTCCCACCAACTGTGTAAAAGAGTTCCTTTTTCACCATATTCCTGCCAACACAGATTGTTCCTACTGTTTTTGATATGTGCCATTCTCACTGATGTGACATGATTTTCATTGCACTTCATATTTTATAATGGATGCATAGTATTTCATTGTGTACATGTACTGTGGGCTGGAGCGATAGCACAGTGGGTAGGGTGTTTGCCTTGCACACGGCCAACCCAGTTCGATTCCTCCGCCCCTCTCCAAGAGCCCGGCAAGCTACGGAGAGTATCCCGCCCACACAGCAAAGCCAGGCAAGCTACCTGTGATGTATTCAATATGCCAAAAACAGTAATAACAAGTCTCACAATTTGTTGAGACATTACTGGTGCCCGCTCAAGCAAATCGATGAACAATGGAAGGACAGTGCTACAGTGCAGTGCTATATGTACTATAATTCCTTCATACAGTCATCTGTTCTTAGGCACTCAAGTTGTTTCCAGATTTTGGCTACAGTGAAGACTGCTTCAGTGAACATAAGATTGAGATGTCTTTCCTGCATTGTGCTTTTGGGCCCCTGGGAATATTCCAAGTAGTGGAATTGCTGAGTTGTATGGAAGCAATTCCCAGTTTTTTGGGGAAAGACCATATTGCCTTCCCAAATGGTTGGACTGGTCAGCATTCCCACCAGCAGTGAATGAGGGTATCTTTTACCCCACATCCTTGCCAACACTGGTTGTTGTTTTGTTTGATATGTGCCAGTGTCTTAATTATGAGGTAATGTTTTGGTTTGCATTTCCCTGATTATTAGTGATCAGTAGCATTTTTTTTTTGGTGTGTCTCTATTTATTTTTTTATTATCAGTGAGACACCATGAGGTACAATTGTAGACTTACAAATTTTGTGCTTGGGTTTCAGTTATACAATGATCAAATACCCATCCCTCCACCAGTGCCCATTTCCCACCACCATGGATCCCAGTATCCCTCCAACCCCCATCCTCTTCATCCCACCCTGCCTCTGTGGCAGGGCATTCCCCACTGTTCTCTCTCTCCTTTTGGGTATTGTGGTTTGCAAAAGAGGCATTGAGTAGCAATCATGTTTGGTCTATAGTCTACTTTCAGCATGCTTCTCCCATCCTGGGAGGATCCTCCCAGTAGCATTTTTTTCATATGCTTTTTGATCACTTTTCTCTTTGAGGAAGTTTCTGTTTATCTCTTCTCCCTATTTTTTGATAGAATTTGCTGTTTTTTTCTTAGAGAGTTTGACCAGTACTCACCTGACAATAAAGCAATCTAATGACAATTCGCCAATTTTCTTACACATCAAAGTCCTATAAAAAATTTGCCCTCTGGGAAAGATCTCCTATTCCTATTTAACTTAAATCTTAGCTCTCAGATTTAACTCTAACCCTTTATTATTACTCTCATTCTCATTGTAAATGACTATCAGTTTTACTTTACAGTCTCTCTGTAACACAGTGGGCAAATGAAGTAAAAGCTGCTAGAATTCTGCTCGATTATATACTAAACACTCAAAATTTACATTTCCATATTCTTAACCTTTTAGAAAGAACTATCCTATAAAGTTATTTATGGGTCAGAGTGATAGTATAGCAGGTAGAACATGGGCCATGCATTCAGTTGACCCTGTTCCCATCCACAGCACCACATATGGTCCTCTGAGCCCATGAGGAGTGATCCCTGAGCACAGAGCCAGGAGTAAGTCCTGAGAACTACTGCAATGACTCAAGAAGCAAATAATAAATAAATAGTTATTTCTTAAAACAGTAACCTTCTGTATAAGAGAAGAATTCAAAAATTCAATGAAACTTCTGAGCTACAACTAAAGACAATATATTGACATGTTATCACTGAGGGGGAAATAGCTGGTTGCTATAAATTATGTATTGGAAACAAGTTAATAGCTGCAAATAATACTATACATATAGAGCTGAAAATAAAGGGAATCATAAAAGTTTTATGTTAGGGGCTGGAGCTATAGCACAGTGAGTAGGGCGTTTGCCTTACATGTGGCCAAACTGGGTTCAGTTCCCAGCATCCCATATGGTTCCCCTGAGCACTGCCAGGGGTAATTCCTGAGTGCATAGCCAGGAGTAACCCCTGAGCATCATCAGGTGTGACCCAAAAAGTCAAAAAAAAGTTTTATGTTAGGTGCAAGGAAGACACTATTTATACGGAATATTAACTACTGAAATAGACTCCACAAACATATAATGTTCTTTTGGGGCATTTTAGAGCATTTGCTGTTCAAAGGCATTGCTAGTTATGGGTCTAGAATATATATCATTCAATAAATATATGCATTCTATATCTATTATAAAATTACATTTTATATGTAAAGTATACTTTATATATATTATTAAATATATATATTATTCAAACTACATTTGTCCCTTCTAGATTCTTCATACCAATATTAGTTTATAGTAGTATATATCTACCCATTTTCATACCAATATTACCTTAGAATAGCATATGTATACCCACCTTTACAAGAAATATGATAGAGGGATTAGTTTTATGGCCATAATGAATTCTGATAGTAAGTGCATCTTCACAAAGTCCTTTTATATAATACAGACATTCTTGAAATAACTTATCAGCAAAAAAGAGATGGCAGTTCAGATAATATCTGAAGGTTAGAAATTTTTCACAACTTATGTCCCATTCAAAATGAGTTGAATTTTGAGATAACTAGTACAATTTCTCTCATATTCATGTAGTTAGTATGTAATGCATCTTTCATATTTTAAAAGACAATAACAAATATTAGTGATCATTATTTGTTAAGTTGACTGATAACTATTCAGATAAAATTTAGATACTACATTTGTTGAATAAGAACAAAATAGGAGAAGGAACAGATAATATTATTACATAGGATCCTGAGTTCTAATAATTTTGAAATAGTATGCAGACATGTTAAACAAACTATATTTCTATTATACTAAATTTAAATATTTTTTCCCTAATTAGAGAAGAAAATTAACTAGCTTAGTTACCATTTGGCGAATATTTCCTGAATTCTTCCTCCATTTCTATCCTAATTTAGGGGAGATCAGTACTATCCTATTATCAGCACCTACTATCTAATACCACAAGTTCTTACAGAAAATTGAGAATTAGTAATTCTTGCAAGCAATATCTTATATCATGCCAAAACCTGATTAAAAATGGATTAAAGACTTGATGTTAGACCCAAATCCATAAAATACATGGAAACATTGACAGAAATCTCCATTATAATTGACTTCAGAAGCATCTTCAAAAATTTTACTTCAATGGCAAAAAGCTAAAGCAGAAATCAACAAATTGGTTTAGAAACTATGGCTAAAATAAAAATCACAGTGCTGAATGGGAGAAAATATTTGCACACTATACATCTAGCAAGGGCTGGAGTGATAGCACAGCAGGTAGGGCATTTGCCTTGCATGCAGCCAACCCGGGTTCGATTCCTCCACCCCTCTCGGAGAGCCCGGCAAGCTACCAAGAGTATCCTGCACAGCATAGCATGGTAAGCTCCCCATGGCATATTCAATATGCTGAAAACAGTAACAAGTCTCACAATGGAGATGTTATGGTGCCCACTTGAGCAAATCGATGAACAATGGGAGGACAGTGCTCAGTGCTACAGTACTACATCTAGCAAAGTCTCTTGTGAGACTGTCATACGTCTTTTTGTTTCCATAAAATATAAACACTTCTTTAAAACAATCTTAAAAACTCCATAAGCATATAATCCATTATTGGATTATATAAATCCATATAATTCATCAATTCCACTCCTTGTCTATTACCCAATCTATCCTAAGAATAAAAGACACCAGTTGCATATATGTAATACATATATATATATATATATATATATATATAACATCACAGATGAATGGATAAAGAAGTTGTAGTGCATATACACAGTGGAATGCAAAGTGCTCAGGCATAATTAAAGATAATAAAAGATAAAATCTTGCATTTAACTACAGCATGGATGAAACTAGAGGGTTAAAACAAAATTTGAAGGAGGAAGACAAAAATCCAACGGTCCCATTCATGTGTGGTATATAAAGAGACAAAGCAAGGGAAGAAACACAAATTTTTAGATTTTGACAATAGAACCAAAGCTATGAAGCAGAATAGGTGGCAGGTGGGAAAGTTTCTAGGGATAACGGTGGAGGCATATTGGCATTATTGTGGTAGGTCAGTGTGGACCTTAAACCCCCAGAACTCAAACATTTATACTTTTGTAAACCACTGTATCATATTTGAATTAAAGTTTTCTCTTGAAATACAAATGTAAATACTTACAAGCACCTTTTCCTCTTAACTCTTTTAACGTTGAATTTCCAGGTAACAAAAGCTTTATTTATTCTGAAAGGGAAACGTTTTTCACATTATATGTTTATGAATCATATATTTATACAGAATAAATTTAGTAAAGACTTAATAGTACCAGAAAATTCTCCAGAATATGTCTCTTTTATTCTGTTACCTTAAAACTGGAGCATATCACTTTTCTCCCAAACCTTCAATAGAATAAAGATTAGGAGATAAATTCTACAACTACTATTTTCCCAAATAAATATCTAGAAATATCTAGTTCATGAATTTTGGGGACTAATGTGTTACCATAGCACAATCTTTTTCCTCAGGAACATTTTGTCTTGATATAAACAATCATTCCGACACTGAGATATAATAATTGATCACCACAGTGAGATAGATTCCTTATGTAGTTGGTAATAACCAGTGGGAAGGAAAGGACGGCAAGAACAGGAATGCTCCAGAGGTCAATTAAGCAAACAATGTTTGTGATGACACTGGTTGATTTTGACTCAAAGAAGAAGGAAGGAAGGAGGTCTGGAGCCAACAGAAGTTCAAAGAGGGGACAAGAGATTATTCAATGAGGAAACCGAGACCATAGAAATAAGACATGCCTTAGGCAAATCTAGCAATATCACCTTAAATATGGTTCCAAAGATGCATTCAAAATAAATACCTGCCTCACCTCAACCTGGAAATTTAGAGTCATGTGTATCAGGAATCTGGAAAATTCCTGGAAACTAGCTTAAGTCAGAGATGTCAACAATAATGGTCTAATGAGCATACACAAAGCACTGGAAACTGCCCAGAAAGTTTCATGGGATCGAAGCTCACAATCATGCTCAAATAATTCCTGCTCTGTATACATGGCATCATCATCTTATATGATTAATACTTCATATTTTTTCTATTTTAAATGTTTTTGTTATGTGTTATTTTAAATCTTTTTATAAGTACTGCACACTAATCAAGTGCACAACCAGAGCTTAAAAATCTTTTTTAAAATAGTAAAAATAATTCTGAAAATAGACTGAATCTAATATGGGGAGGAACAGGGGCTGTGCTCAGTGCTAACCCCTGGCTCTGTGCTCAGGGTCCATATGTGGTGTGCTCAGTGGACCATATGTGGATCAAATCCAGGTCAACAGAAAGCAAGACAGGCATCGAACCTTCTGTACTATCTCTGTTCCCTCTACAAGTTTAAACCTGACTAAACCTTATTTCTAGTTGTCTTAGTATGATGAAAGAAAATGAATAATTTTGACTATGCACTTAATTGATGCTTAGAGAAAGATTATCATATTTCTAAGTTTCAAAATCTGAAAGACTGAAATTAATACAGTCAAATGGGATCTAAAAAATGTTTTACAAGGCAAAGATAGCAGTAGAAAATCTAAATTGAGTCACACCCAAGAACCATCTCCAAGGCTCTATAAGCTCAGTTACTGGTCTTGCTCCAGAGACTCATAAATAAATCCTGAAAGAGATCAACCTGCTGCCAGAAATCCTTCAGACATCCAGAATGGCTGAGACATCGGGGCACCCGGAGGGGGGCAGGCCAGCCAGGGCCTGCCCAAACAGAGCCCTTGCAGCCACCTGCTCTCACACTACAAAATCACCGCCATGCCTCTGACTGAACTCCATTGTCTCAGGAGTAAGCCTCAACCAGAAATTAATCTGCCAAAAATTCAGGTATGCAGGTCTTTGTGACTGAAATCTCCAAGCTTTTATGGAGTCTAGATGGGCTATCTCCCCTTATCTTGGTACATCCAGATACATCAACAGTCATGTGCCCACCCCAAAGTCACCACTTCCCAGTCAAAAACTTAACTCCAGCTGTACCACCCATTTAATAATTCTGGATTTCCTTGGACATCTCCAAACTCTACAACACTTATAATCCAGTAGCAGCACTCCAGATTGGATGGGATGTAACATAGAAGGCAACCAATCTTGACTAACCAAATAGTAACATAGCACTGTAGCACTGTCCTCCCATTGTTCATCGATTTGCTCGAGTGGGCACCAGTAACATTTCCATTGTGAGACCTGTTGTTACTGTTTTTTGGCATGTCAAATACGGCACGGGGAGCTTGCCAGACTGCCATTCTGGTGGGATACTCTTGGTAGCTTACTGGGTCTCTGAGAAGGACAGAAGAATCAAACCCAGGTCAACTGCATGCAAAGCAAACGCCCTACCTTCTGTGCTATTGCTCCGCCCAGATACTAACAGGATGCATAAGCATCTTAATTATGCTTCATCACTTATCACTTAATCACTTAACTTCCCGTTAGTCGTTGATTTGCTCCAGCGGGCGCCAGTAACGTCTCCATTTGTCCCTGTCGCGTGCTAGTGTAGCCCAATGGCATCTGTTCGCTCTGGGAACATGAAGAGCCTCAAACCGATCGTTCATGATCTTGATGAAGAAGTCTGACCATCTGGTAGGTGGGCGACCACGCGGTCTTTTGACATCCTGTGGAATCCAGTCGGTAACAGCTCTAGTCCAGCTGTCGTCTTTAAATCTCATTACGTGACCAGCCCATCTGATTTTTGACACCTTGGCAAATGAGACAGTGTCCCTGATTCTTGATCGTCGAGGGATGTCGGAACTCCAGATTCTTTCTCTCATGTGAGTGAAACGTGATATTCCAAGCATAGCTCTTTCAATTCCTCTTTGGGAGACCTGAAGAGCGTTCTCATCCTGTTTGCGTAGGGCCCAGGTCTTTGAGGCATATGTTAATGCAGGAAGAACAGTGGAATCAAAGAGATGTGCCCGGAGCCGGAGGTTCTTCGTCCTCTTAGCTATTTCTTCGACATTCTTGAAGGCGTTCCAAGCTTCTCTCTTCCTCCTGCGCAGCTCGGGTGCCAGGTCATTTGTCATGTTGACTTCTCGACCTAGGTACACATAGCTGTTGCATTCGGAGATGGTCGTTCGGTTGAGAGCGAATGGGGCATCAGGAACGAGGCTGTTTCTCATAAACATTGTCTTCGTAAGATTCAGCTGTAGCCCTACCTTTCCACACTCACGGTCAAAGTCGGCCAGCATTTGTGCTGCTTGGCTGATGTTTGGTGTTATTAAAACAATGTCATCAGCAAAGTGGAGGTGGTATAGTTGCCGACCATCTATCTTCACTCCCATTCCTTCCCATTCCAGTCGTCGCATGATGTTCTCGAGGGTGGCACTGAAGAGTTTCAGTGAAATGGTATCACCCTGCCGCACCCCTCTCTTGACATCAATGATCACTTCTTTGTAGAATGGTGAGATCCTGGTAGTGAATCCGCAATACAGCTCACAGAGGATCTTGATGTATTGGGCTTGAATGCCCTGATTGGCTAGGGCTTCAATGACCACAGAATCAAAGGCCTTCTTTAAATCAATGAACGTTAAAGAGAGCAGCATCTTGAACTCCCGAGAAACCTCAATGATCTTGGTTATTGTGTGGATATGGTCGATGGTGCTGAATCCTTTGCGGAACCCAGCTTGCTCGCATGGTTGTCCTTCATCTAGTGTTCTGCCAATCCTATTTAGGATGACTCAGGTGAACAACTTGTAGATGACAGACAATAGGCAGATCGGGCGATAGTTGCCAATGTCATGGATGTCTCCCTTCTTGAACAGTAGTACGGTCCTGCTGGTTTTCCACTGGGACAGAACCTTGCATTCAGACAGGTAGCATGTGAAGAGCCGAGCCAGTGTATTGATGAGTACTGACGGCAGGTTCTTCAGGTGTTCAGGTCTGACCTTGTCTGGGCCGGGTGCTGTTTGTTTCTTTACCGACGAAATGGCATGTCGGATTTCGGAAGGGAGAACATTGGGAACGACATATCCATCCTGTGGAATTTGGTATGTCGGCAAGTGGACATGGCTATCGAAGAGATTTGAGTAGAAGTCATAGATAATCTTCTCCATTGCAGTTCTGGAGGATGTGATGGATCCATCAGGACGTCGGAGGGCAGTCATCTTGGCCTTGTAGTTGGCAAAGAACAGGGGGCGTTACGAATACTTTTCCCGGCTTCTGCTGCATCTACCAGCACTTATGCTCGTCTCTCTTTGAGGTCTTCCTTGATCGCATCTCTGCACTGCTTTGCGAGCTCAGACGTTAGCTTGCGGTTGCCTGAGGCACGCGCCAAACCACGCTGGCAAATAAGCTCAAGAGTTTTCGAAGACAGGTGTTTTTTTTGTGGCTATCTCTCTCTTGGTGTTCCTCGCACATTCATGGAGGTGCTGTACCAGTCGATCGTATTCCTCATCAATGTTGTCAACAATGGCATCTTCCCATGTTGCCGCTCCCAGTTGGTGGTCGTTCTGGGAGTTCTCTTTTTAAACTTTGCAGCCCTTTCTCCCCGCTCTGTGAAGTAGAATTTTGCACGAAGGAGACGGTGGTCCGATCCCGTTCAGAATTTTGGGACAACAGCGACATCGGTCAGGCAAAACCGTCCATTGAATATGATGTGGTCTATTTAGTTGTGGAATCGTCCACTGGGAGACTCCCATGTCCAACGTTTAGATTCTGCCTTCTGGAACTGTGAGTTACCATGGATGGTCTTAGTAGACATGATGAACTCAGACAGTCTCTCACCCTGTTCGTTCCATTCTAGGCCATGGGTTCCGATGTGAAGTTCTTCAGCTGATCTTCTCTGTCCTATCTTGGCATTAAAATCACCCACAATGATCTTGTAGAAGGTGTGGTCTTCTTTATAGAACTTCTCCAGCTCCATGTAGAACTTCTCAATTTCTCTTTCATCATAATGAGATGTTGGTGTGTACACAACAAAGATCGAAACTGCCGGCAGTGAGCCACATCTATTCAAATGTAAACGTCCGATTCGGGTTGTTGGGCGTTCGAATGAATCAATGCTCATGGCCAAGTTTGTGTTGACAAGGACACCGACGCCTCCGACATCTCTTTTATCGCATGTTCTGAGGAACAATTCTTCTCCAGTGTCGAAAACGGCATGGTGAGATTCATGCCTTCTTGTCTCGGTCAGACCAATGATGTCGTACTTGATCATTCATGCTTGTACCATCAGGTCCTCAATGGATGCATCTGAAGCTAGCGTACGTGCATTGAAAGTACAGAGACCTTGGACTCCAGGCTCAGCGGACCCAGGGACAGAGATTCTCTGCTTGCTCCCACCAACCACAGGTGACAAAGGAATTCTAATCAGGAGCCCCACCCTACCCTGCCCTGTCTGCTTCCACCAACCACCCAGGGATCGGATTACGCACAGAAGACCCACCCTACCCCTACCGGGACCAGATAAATACCCAACTGGCAGACACTACCTCCACTACCTCCACTACCCACCTGCCACCACACTCCAGGATGCTTTCCGGACCCGTGCCGGCGCAAAGCGCCCGCGCGACACATCATAAGACCCTAAATACCCATCTTCCAGAATTGTCGTACCATATTTGATAGTGTTCAAATATGGTAACACCTACGAGGGCAATTAGAGGTTGCCCCAAAAGTTTCTATCCCTCTCGGAAAGACTGGCAAGCTACCGAGAGTATTCCGCCCGCACGGAAGAGCCTAGCAAGCTATCCATGTGTATTCGATATGCCAAAACCAGTAACTACAACTGGTCTCATTCACCTGACCCTGAAGGCTTCACCGACATGGCAGCACTGAGAAGGATGAGAAAGGAGAGGCCGATAAAATCTCAAGGCTGAACTAGGTTGCCACAACGAAGGAAGACAAAAATGATCGTCTGTACTTTCAATGCACGTAATGCTTCATACAAGAACTTAGTCTCCATGGTGACATATAACAATTTCCACTCATTTTCTTATAAGAAAATATTTTTTGATCATTCTGTTAGCAATTCATTGAAAACAAGCCATATATAAAATAAATTGTGGGCCTGTTGTGGGGGCAGGCTTGAGAGGTTGTTGTGAAAATTGGAGACAATGGTAGAGGGAAAGTGATAATGGTGGTGGGACTGGTTTTGGAATGTTGAAGATCTGTAACAAATCATTATGAGTAACTTTGCAAACCATAGTGTTTATATAAGGTGTAGGGGAGAAAATTTACATAGTTTACATAAGTAGGCTATTTCATGTATACTCCAAAATGTATTAGCACAAAATTTTTTTAAAAGTTTTATGAAAAAAGAAAAAGTTTTATGAGAGACAGGAGGGATGATTATTACCATAATAAGATTCAAACGTAAGATAAAACTTAATACAATATACTTTATATTCTAGAGTTGAGAACTTACTTACGTAAATGAGAATAAGCAATTTACTATATTGTATTAAAGGGTTTTATTTTCCTGATTTACATAGGTAAAAATCATATAACAATCACAAAGTGGCTTCTACTGATTTATTTTCTGACTATTCTATTTGGCCGTTTCTTAGTTTTGTTGGAACAAGCAATATAAAGTCAATTTGTTATGCAGCTAAGGGAGCAGGTTGGAGATGGGAGGGAAAATTGGGACATTAGTGGAGGGAAGGTCACACTGGTGGTGTTGGAACACTAAATGCCTGAAATAATTGTATAATGAACAACTTTGTGAATCACAGTGTTTTTAATAAAAATAGATTAAAAAAGAAAATCTAACATTAACAAAGTTCTAAATAAATATAGAAAAACATTTTGGTAATAACGTAAACTGATTGTCTGTAGTTTAAAAAAATCTATTACCAAAAAGATGAACAACGGGAGGACAGTGCTACAGTGCTATGAAAAATCAAAATCTACTAGTATCTAGTCTATAGGGATGCAACTAAAGTACATATTCTTTTTTTTTAATTTTTATTAGTGAAACACCATGAGGTACAGTTGTAGACTTACAAATTTTTGTGCTTGGGTTTCAATTATACAATGATCAAGTACCCATCCCTCCACCAGGGCCCATTTTTCACCACCACAGATCCCAGTATCCCTCCCATCCCCCAGCCCCCAAAACACCCTGCCTCTGTGGCAGGGCATTCCCTTTTGTCTCTTTCTCTTATTGGGTGTTGTGGTTTTCAAAAGAGGCAATAGGTGAAAATCATGTTTGGTCTATAGTCTACTTTCAGCATGCTTCTTCCATCCTGGGAGGATCCTCCCAACACTCTTTGTTTGGTTCTTCCTTCTCTATCTGAGCTCCCTTTTGCCCTTGCATGTGTGGCTGGCCTCTAAACCATGGAGTAAAATTCCTGGTACTAATCTCGGCCATTCTTGGGTGTTAGTCTTTTATTTTGTTACTTTATGTTCCCCAGATGAGTACAATCTTTCTATGTCTATCCCTCTCTTTCTGACTCATTTCACTTAACATGATATTTTCCATGTAGTATCACTTGTATGTAAATTTTATGACTTCATCTTTTCTAACAGTTACATAGTACTCCATTGTGTAAATGTACCAAAGTTTCTTTAACCAGTCATCTGTTCTTGGGCATTCAGGTTTCTTCCAGGTTCTGGCTATTGTAAAGAGTGCTGCAATGAACAAACAAGTGCAGATGTCACTTCGACTATACTTTTTTTGCCTCTCTGGGATATATTCCCAGGAGTGGTATTGCTGGGTCAAATGGGAGCTCAATTTCTAATTTTTTGAGAATCATCCATACCGTTTTCCAAAAGGGTTGAACCAGTCTGCATTCCCACCAGCAGTGAAGGAGGGTCCCTTTCTCGCCACATCCGCGCCAGCACCGGTTGCTTTAGTTCTTGTGGATGTGGGTCAGTCTCTGTGGTGTGAAATGATATCTCCTTGTTGTTTTGATCTGCATCTCCCTGATGATTAATGATGTGGAGCATTTTCTAATGTGCCTTTTAGCCGTTCGGATTTCTTCTTTGAGAAAGTTTCTATTCATTTCATCGCCTCAGTTTTTGATGGGGTTGGATATTTTCTTCTTGTGGAGTTCAACCAGTAACTTGTATATCCTTGATATCAACTCCTTGTCGAATGTGTATTTGGTGAATATCCTTTCCCATTCTATAGACTGTCTTTGTATTTTGGTCACTGTTTCTTTTGAGGTGCAGAAGCTTCTTAGTTTAAGATAGTCCCATTTGTCTATCTCTGTTTTCACTTGCTTGGCCAGTGGCATGACATCTTTGAAGACACCATTAGCTTCAATATGAAGTGTTTTGCCAACTTTTTCCTCAATGTACCTTATGGATTCCGGTGTGATGTTGAGGTCTTGAATCCACTTTGATCTTACTTTTGCACATGGCGTTAGGCAGAGATCTGAGTCCATTTTTTGCATGTAGCCTTCCAGTTTTGCCAGCACAATTTGTTAAAGAGGCTTTCCTTGCTCCACTTCACTTTTCTTGCCCCCTTATCGAAGATTAGATGCTCGTATGCTTGGGGGGAGATGTCAGTATATTCAACCCTGTTCCATTGGTCTACAGCTCTGCCTTTGTTCCAGTACCATGATGTTTTAATTATTACTGCCTTGTAGTAGAGTTTGAAGTTAGGGAGGTTGATTCCTCCCATTTTCTTTTTCCCAAGAACTGCTTTAGCTATTCGTGGGGGCTTATTGTTCCATATAAATTTTAGGAGTATTTGCTCATTTCTTTGAAGAATGTTGTGGGTATCCTAATAGGGAATGCATTGAATTTGTACAGTGCTTTGGGAAGTATTGCCATTTTGACAATGTTAATTCTCCTGATCCATGAACAGGGGATATTTTTCCATTTCCTCATGTCCTCTTTTATTTCCTGAAGTAGCATTTTGTAGTTTTCTTTGTACAGGTCCTTTACTTCCTTAGTTAAGCTGATTTCTAGGTACTTGATTTTCTGGGGCACAATTGTGAATGGGAACAAAATCCATTAATTTATCTTACATAAAATTTGCTCCAGATTTTTATTATTTCAGTAATTTACCATGTTAAATGCAAGTTAAAGATATTTATTTTCTTAGTCCCCAGCAGATAGCAGCAAACCACAAGAAAAGACACATGTTAGAGAGGAAACCAAAAATACTAAAAATCTAAACAATCACTGAAAAAACAACAGCTAGGCCTACTTGATGAAGAATCAGAGTCTTGAGAATTCTAATGTCATGTTGTATAATGTAGTATAATCTAATCTAGAAATATAAAAATTTTAAATGATGATTATTTTTCAGTAAGTTTTCTTCAATTTTTTAACTCCTATTTTCTGACATTTTACATATGAAATGTGCTTTTTAAAATAATCTCTCTTACCTTTGACAGAAGGACAATTATTTGGTTTGTTGAATACAATATCTATAATTATTTATAGTTCTGAGAAATCTCTCAATAAATATTCATTAATAATGCATTAAAACAGAGGTAAAATAAGTTATTATAGTAAATTTTTCTTTGACTATAATTTTTTCTTTTTTAGCAATATTTTCCTCAAAAATTTAAACTAAATGTTATAATATTTAGCTATATAAGAAATATTTCTTTATGTAAAGACTTTGTAGAATAATTTTCACTCCCCTTAATTCTTCACGAATATAAAATTACTATAATGGAACCCCAGTGTTACAGAGGCAATTGATATTTCAAAAAAATCATACTATAAATAGGAATAGGTATCTCCATTTTCTTTGATCTCACCGGAAATTGGAAAATATCCTGAATTGCTGTAAAAAATAGTAATATCTTTTTTCTAATAGCCATTGTGGAGTTGGTATGAGTTCTGTCTCTTCTGTCTGGCCTGTTTTTACAATCTGAAAGTACAAAGTACATAAAGTAATACTTCTTTTAAAATATGTGCCATTTTCAGGAAATTCAGAAAGCCTAATTTAATACTTAAGTACATGCCTTGATAATTAAAACTTTCCTATAGATGGCCTCAACACATCATCTAAGCTCAAACTTGATTTATCTTTAAACACTATTTCTTCTTTTATATTCATTAAAAATTTTTATTTAAATTTCACTGTAGTTCAGATAATATCATTATAATAGTGCTAACATTTCTGACTTTGATACACAAAGTTACTGCACTTCATCACCACCCCCAAAGTGCCAAAGACCCTCCACTAACATCCTTATGACACTTAAAGTTTGCCTCTTCCTCCTCCTGCCCTGGCCCACAACACAACTGCTTAGTGACCTCAGTTTTGTAATCCAATATATTTACCACTTTCTAATGTCATTTCTTTGGCTGCAACAGGAAGGTTAAGAAATACTTTTTTCATCATATTAAGATTTTTTTTTACAAAATTATTTCCTTATTTTGTTTTGTTTTGGAGCCACAGCCTGTGGTACTCAGGGCTTTACTCTTGGCTCTGTGCTAGGTAATCACTCCTGGCAGGGCTTGGTGGACCATATAGGAATGACTGGGATTGAACGTGAGTAGGCCACATGCAAGGTAAGTGCCTTACCCACTGTACCATCTCTATGGCTCCAAGATTATTCCTTATTTCGTGTCATATTTTCTATAAAAGTAACACTTACAAACTTAATTTAAAGTACAGGGATACAATTATTCCAAAGTAAATAGTAGCTCATTACCCCATTCTGATATTCAAAAATTACAGGTTCTCATAAAGAGATCATTCTTCCCTGTTCAAGTATTGAACAGTTGCTTACATTTCTTCCAGAAATAGAGGTATACCTTTATCAGAATACATATTTTTTCTGTGCATGTTTCTACTTGTAAGTTGTTTCTTCCACTTTTAATTAATAACAAATATTAGAGATCTCACTGACATATCGAGGAAATGTATATTAGAGATAAGGACTATATATATATATACATATATATATATGCACATTGAAATCTACTTTCATATGTGGTTTTGCCCACAAATACTTAGAAATACAGTTGGAAGTCTGAGAGGACAGAGGAAAACAGAGAGAGATTAAACAAATGAAAAAAAAAAGTCACTGGGTAATTATGATTTGTCAGAAACATCAAAGTACTCTGTAAGTATAATAGGTGTGTTTTACATCAGGTAATGAAGTTTCTGACAAATGAGAAACATTATTTCATTATTATAATTTCAATTAAGCCAGTCCATTTTTTATTATTTCATCAAAAATTAGAAAAATTGTTTGCAAGTATTTAAAATGTAAAATAAAACAAAAAAACCCTCAAATTGAAAGAAAAAACAAGTCACATCAAATAAACTTTTCCTATGAAATATATATAATAGTCCCTAAAATATCAGGATTTTGTCTGAAACATGCAATGGTAAATGTATAAGAGGTATACATTTAAATTTAAATGAATAAAGAATAGCACAGCAGGCAAGGCACTTAGGCTCACCTGGGATCAACCCAGCATTACCCCTGAGCACCAACATAAGTGATCCCTGAGCACAGAGCCAGGAGTAAGCTCTGAGCACCAATGAGAGAGCTCCCCCTGAACAAAAAAAAAATCTACATTTAAATTGTTAACTTTCACTATGACTCTGAAAAATGAAAACATATTGTATATTACTTTTGAGATAAATGAAGCAGAAACTGTCCAGAATTCTTTGCAACGTCTAGCATTCTGAGAAGATACCACTTGGAGATCATAAGGATTATACAAAGTTTCAGAACATTTTTGAGAAAGGCAGTATACAAATTCTCCATCATCTTTCATTTGTTCCTGAAAACATATTTTAATTAAGTTGATCAGAGTAAGTAGTAAAGTGGATGAATACACAGTATTGAATGTATTGAATATAGCAATATGAATGCAGCAATATCAGTATATTGAAAATATAGAGAAATTATAATTTTAAATAACATAGAACTTGGAGCGTATGGTATATTGTAAAGCAATACTAATTAAGAGTAAGAATAAGGTCATTGAAGGATGCTAATATCAATTTGTGTCTATTCAAGTTCAATAGAATAAATCAATATTATTGTCTTTTATGCTGGTGGTTTAGTATTAATTAAGATCTATTGAATAATATGTATACAATAAGTGTCTCTTGGGGCTGGAGCAATAGCACAGCGGATAGGGCGTTTGCTGTGCACGCGGCTGACCCGGGTTAGATTCCCAGCATCTCATATGGTCCCCCGAGCACCGGCCAGGCGTGATTCCTGAGTGCAAAGCCAGGAGTAACCCCTGAGCAGCGCCAGGTGTGACCCATAAAGCAAAAAAAAAAAAAAAAAAAAAAGTCTCACATGATATCTTTATAGCCTTAGACATTTAATCTCTAACATTTAAACCTTGACTTTTTAAAATAATTAAACAGATACAGAATTTAATGTATTTAGAAGTTAGGTCACTCTCACTATCACTGTCTCTGTCCTCCCGTTATTCATTAATTTTCTCAAGTGGGCCCAGTATCGTCTCCATTGTGAGACTTGTTACTGTGTTTTGGCATATGTCATGGGTAGCTTGTCAGGCTTTGCCTTGTGGGGGAGATACTCTCGGTAGCTTGCCAGGCTTGAGAAAAGTCACAAAGTCAAGATGATTTGAGCACAAATACTAAGCCTACTTTAATATAAGATAATGCTTCTTTATCATCTACCTAGAATTATTGAGGAATTAGTCTTTTCACATTAAGAAAAATTTTAATTAAAATCAATTTCTTTTAGTTTGAAGCCTCTAACATTTATTGATGAAAACAGTTCTAAAATTATTCATAAGGAAGCATAATATAATCCTTTCTTGGGTAATTAAATTTTATTATTAGAAAATGTATTATTCTCTTATAATTCAGTGAGGCCTTCTGAAGATATTGAATTGAGCACTTGAACAATTTCCAATCACTGTAATTTTGGATCCAGTTTTCCTTTGGGAAGGGAGGATGTTTGGATTACACTTGGCAGTGTTCAGGGATTACTACTGGTTCTGCACTCATGAATCACTTCTGGCAAATTCAGGGACCACATAGAATGCTGGATATTGAGACCAGGTCAGCCACAAGCAAGGCAAGTGTCCTCCCGACTATACTATCTCACTGACCCCAGTTTTACTTTTCATTTAATACTTTTTTCCACACTGAAGACTCAATTGTCTGAGTTGGTTCACCTTCTTATTTTGACCCCTGGTATTAGGAATATGGACCTAGGAAAAGAAGGTTTCACGTAAAATGCAAAACGCCTTTTGTGATAATTTGTATAATGTTTGCATTATAGCTATTTGGTCACATGAGGCATTTTTATTCTAAATTATATTCACCCCCAAGTTGAAATTACTAGGAACCTTTATGACAAAATCATTCTAGGGCCACAGAGATGACTCAATGGGCTGAGCACTTATTTTACATGCAAAAGGTCTGTGTTTGATTTTTAAAAAAATAATAAATAAAATTAGGAGGAGACAATTTTATTCTATCTTTGATCAGCTGCAATAAATAAGGTCCCTGGAGGGAGACCTTAAGTCTGATTACAACTTTCTTCTAGTATCTGCTTGTGTGATCTTAGACAAGATAAAATTTCTCTGAAAAGGCTAAACAGGTCAAGAAAAAAATGTAAAGGACAAGGAAACTTAGAAATGATAAGATAGAATATTAGTTTCCAGAAAGCAAGAGAATGATGATAGAATATTATGAAAATACATTAAAATTTCTTTTTAAAATCACAAAAATTAGGTAGACAGGATTGCAAGACAGCTAACACCCATTCCCAGGAACAAATTAATTGGAGAAATTTATAAAAAGATAGTTTTAAATTCTGATCTCTTGAGTTTTTAAATAAGCTTAATGTTGGAAGCATATATCATGGAATAATAACTATAATATGGCATTAATGTAATGTCTGATTTTGGTATAATATCTAAAGTGCATGAAATAAAGATAATTTTAAATACAAATTTCAAAAGCAAAAATAGAATAGAATAAAATAGAATACCTCTTGAAGAGTCTTCTGAACTGATAATTTGCATTGCTTGACATCAAATTTACTTTCTGGCAATATTGTTTCCCAACCGTACTTTTTTCTTAGCCTAATAATATGCTTTACCACATCATCACCTTCTAGTTCTAGTTTAAAACATGAAAAAAAATCCAATATAAGTACAAATATGTTATCACTAAGGATAATGTATAATATTACAAATATTTCCATTGGAAAAATTTAGATGACCACTTTCATGTAAGGGATTCATAGAACTGTATAATTGGAGGAGAAAATGCAGCTTAAAATACAATTTTAACAGAAACTGTAAAGGTATAATGGTTTTCCATTTAGGAGAGATATCATAGAAAACCCAATTCGTAACAAAGGCAGTTAACAAGAGCCAATAATAGAAACCATCAAAAGACTTTTCTTTAAAAGGCTTTGTGGGGTGCAGGGAGGTTGGTGCAGGAGTATGGAGCAGAGAAATAGTACAGTGGCTAGGGACTTGTCTTGCAATCCTGGGCTGACCAGGGTTCAGTCCCGGGCATCATATATAGAACTCTGAGTCCTTCCAGAGTGATCCCTGAGCACAGCTAGATGTTGCCCAAGAACCAAAAATTAAAAAAAAAAAAAAAGGCTAAACCTCCACTACCCAGCTGCCACCACGCTACAGGATGCTTTCCAGACCATTATAAGACACTTAATATCCATCTTCCAGAATTGCCGTACCATATTTGATAGGATTCAAATATAGTTTGAACCATGGGAACACCTACATGGGTAACTAGAGGCCACCCCAAAAGCCCCTATCCCTCTCGAAGAGCCTGGCAAGCTACCGAGAGTATTCTGCCCGCACGGCAGAGCCTTGGAAGCTATCCGTTGTGTATTCAATATGCCAAAACCAGTAATTACAATGAGTCTCATACCCCTGACCCTGAAGGCAGCATTGAGAAGGATGAGGAAAGAGAGGATGATAAAATCTCAAGGCCGAACTAGGCTGCCAAAACAAAGGAAGACAAAAATGATTGTCTGTACTTTCAATGCACATACGCTAGCATCAGATGCATCCATTGAGGACCTGATGGTACAAGAGCAAAAGATCAAGTACGACACCACTGGTCTGACCAAGACAAGAAGGCATCAATCACATCACACTGTTTTCAACACTGGAGAAGAATTGTTCCTCGGAACATGCGATAAAACAGGCGTCAGAGGCGTCAGTGTCCTTGTCAACACGAACTTGGCCATGAGCATTGATTCATTCGAATGCCTAACAACCTGAGTCAGACGTTTACACTTGAATAGATTTGGCACTGCCGGCAATTTCTATTTTCGTTGTCTATGCACCAACATCCAATTATGATGAAGGAGAAATTGAGAAGTTCTACATGGAGCTGGAGAATTTCTATAAAGAAGACCACACCTTCTACAAGATCATTGTGGGTGATTTTAATGCCAAGATAGGACCGAGAAGATCAGCTGAAGAACTCCACATTGGGATCCATGGCCTTGAATGGAATGAACAGGGTGAGAGACTGTCTGAGTTCATCAAGTCGACCAAGACCATCCATGGTAACTCACAGTTCCAGAAGGCCGAATATAAACGATGGACATGGGAGTCTCCGGGTGGACAGTTCCACAATGAAATGGACCACATCATATTCAATCGATGGTTTTGCCTGACCGATGTCGCTGTTGTCCTAAAATTCCAAACGAGATCGGACCACCATCTCCTTCATGCAAAATTCTACTTCACAGAGCGGGGAGAAAGGGCTTCAAAGTTTAAGAAGAGAACTCCCAGAACAACCACCAACTGGGAGCTCTTTAGCACTATTGCTGCAACATGGAAAGATGCCATTGTTGATAACATTGATGAGGTATATGATTGACTGGTTCAGCACCTCCATGATTGTGCGAGGAACATCAAGAGAGATAGCCACAAATAACTCCCGTCTTCGAAAACTCTTGAGCTTATTCGCCAACGTGGTTTGGTGCATGCCTCAGGCAACCGCAAGTGAACATCCGAGCTCGCAAAGCAGTGCAGAGGTGTGATCAAAGAAGACCTCAAAGAGAGAAGAGCGGAAGTGCTGGTAGATGCAGCAGAAGCCAGGAAAAGTATTCGTAATGCCCGCCTGTCCTTCGCCAACTACAAGACCAAGATGACTGCCCTCTGACGTCCTGATGGATCTATCACATCTTCCAGAATGGCAATGGAGAAGATTATCCGTGACTTCTATTCAAATCTCTTCGATAGCCATGTCCACTTGCCAACATAACAAATTCCACAGGATGGATATGTCGTTCCCAATGTTCTCCCTTCCGAAATCTGACAAGCCATTTCGTCAGTAAAGAAACAAACAGCACCCGGCCCAGAGAAGGTCAGACCTTAACACCTGAAGAACCTGCTGTCAGTACTCTTCAATACGCTGGCTTGGCTCTTCACACGCTACCTGTCTGAATGCAAGGTTCCATCCCAATGGAAAACCAGCAGGACTGTACTACTGTACAAGAAGGGAGACATCCATGACATTGGCAACTATCGCCTGATCTGCCTCTTGTCTGTCATCTACAAGTTGTTCACCTGAGTCATCCTAAATAGGATTGGCAGAACACTAGATGAAGGACAACCATGCGAGCAAGTCGGGTTCCACAAAGGATTCAGCATGATTAACCATATCCACATAAACCAAGCTCATTGAGGTTTCATGGGAGTTCAAGATGCCACTCTGTCTAACGTTCATTGATTTAAAGAAGACCTTTGATTCTGTTGAGACAGAAGCGGTCATTGAAGCCCTAGTCAATCAGGGCATTCAAACTGAATACATCAGGATCCTCCGTGAGCTATATTGCAGATTCACTACCAGGATCTCACCATTCTACAAAGACGTAATCATTAATGTCAGCAAAGGGGTTCAGCAGGGTGATACCATTTCACTGAAACTCTTCAATGGCACCTTCTAGAACATCATGCGATGACTGGAATGGGAAGGAATGGGAGTGAAGATAGTGGGTAGGCAACTATACCACCTCCACTTTGCTGATGACATTGTTCTAATAACACCAAACATTAGACAAGTTGCACAAATGCTGGCCGACTTCGACCGTGAATGTGGAAAGGTAGGACTACAGCAGAATCTTACAAAGACAATGTTTATGAGAAACAGCCTCGTTCCTGACACTCCATTCGCTCTCAATGGAACGACCATCTCTGAATGCAACTGTTAAGTGTACCTAGGTTGAGAAGTCAACATGATGAATTACCTGGCACCTGAGTTGCGCCGGAGGAAGAGAGCAGCTTGGAAAGCCTTCAAGAGTGTTGAAGAGATAGCTAAGAGGAAAAAGAACCTCTGGCTCCGGGCACATCTCTTTGATTCCACTGTTCTTCTGCATTAATATACGCCTCAGAGACCTGGGCCCTACTCAAACAGGATGAGAACGTTATTCAGCTCTCCCAAAGAGGAATCGAAAGGGCTATGCTTGGAGTATCATGTTTCACTCAAATGAGAGAAAGAATCCGGAGTTCCGACATCCATCAACGATCAAGAATCAGGAACGCTGTCTCGTTTGCCAAGGCATCAAAAATCAGATGGGCTGAACACGTAATGAGATTTGGAGATGAGTGCTGGACTAGAGCCATTACCGACTGGATTTCCCCGGGACGTCAAAAGACCATGTGCTGCCCACCTACCAGATGGTCAGACTTCTTCATCAAGATCCTGAACAATCGGTTCGAGGCTCTTCATGTTCCTAGAATGAACAGATGCCATTGGGCTACACTAGCATGCGACAGGGACAAATGGAGATGTTACTGGCACCCGCTCAAGCAAATTGATTTACGAGAAGTCAGGTGATCAAGTGATCAAGTAGTAGATGTGTTACTGCGCTTTTTTGGGTGCTTGCTTCTAGAAGACCAATTCCTCAAGAGACAAGTGGGTAGGGTTGGGGTGAGTCTACTCAGATACTAGAAACCTGAGAAGATGGCAGATGTCTTGTACCGCAGAATCTGTCTTATTCTGAGAAAATGTATGGTCTCAGGGAGAAGGGAACTAAGTCTTAAAGCAGTCTGGGCTGGCATCAGTGGTTAATGAATCCTTGGGGGTTATGGCCAACTTCTTGTAAAGCTTTGAGATAACTTGGTTAAACAACAGTCACTTCTGGGGTCTTCATGTATCTTTTGAGAGGCCTTGGGGTTTATTATTTCCCCTCCATCCATGTCTGGATCTGGCTTAACAGAAACATACAATGCATGAGAGTATCTCATAGGATTGAGAGAAAGTGCAAAGGTCAAAAAGAAAGTAATGTTCTAAGAAGTACGTACGTGAGGAGCAAGATGGAGGCTTAAATCTTGCTCACTTACATAACTGGGATGCCAAAACAGGGAAAGGAAACAGACTGTCTTAAGCTTCTCTCTGTGCCATTTTACTTTGGGATTTTTTTTTTATTGTTATATAATGAACTATCCAAAACACAAACAAATAAAACTAAGGTAAGGCAACACAAACTTATTTTCTCACCATTTCCATGAGTCAGGAGTCTCTTAGGTCACAACAAATTTCTCTTGGGATGCAGGAACTCAGAGGGCTGAAATCAGGATGCTTTCTGACTAAAACCTCATCTGGAGACTTGACTGGGAAAATAGTGACTCTCTAAGCTCCCTGCAGTTGTTGACAGAAATCATGTTCTTGAGTCCCTAAGACTGAGGATTCATTTTTCTTGCTAAACTCTGGTGTAGGATGAACATTGGTTCGTCCTTTCCACCTTGCCACAGGGAGCTTAGGTTTATTGGGTTACTCACATCACAGTGCTCCCATTCTTCTGTGTTTATTTGTATCTTCTTTGTGCTCTGTTGACTTGTAAATATTGTTTTTCTCTTCTTTTTTCCCCCTTTTTTTATTAAAATTTTTTTTAATAGTGAGACATCATAAGGTACAGTTGCAGACTTACACATTTTTGTGCTTGGGTTTCAATTATACAATGATCAAATACCCATCCCTCCACCAGTGCCCATTTCCCACCACCACAGAACTCAGTATTCCTCCCACCCCCCATCCTCCCATCCCACCCTGTCTCTGTGGCAGGGCATTCCCCTCTGTTCTCTCTCTCCTTTTGGGTGTTGTGGTTTGCAAAAGAAACATTGAGTGGCAATCATGTTTGGTTTATAGTCTACTTTCAGCATGCTTCTCCCATCCTGGGAGGATCCTCACAACACCTTTATTTGGTGTTCCCCTCTTTATCTGAGCTCCCTTTTCCCCTAGTATGTGTGGTTGG